CCCCCCCCACACCTAACAAAAATTAACAAACCCACTCTAAAATTAATTTGAGCTGATTTAAATGCCAAAAACTCCATTCAAAACAAAATCCAAACCAAGTATAATGAAAAAACCTATTGCAACCCTGGCCGAAGGCCATTTTTCTGTTCGCAACTAAGTGAGTTTTGGGTGGCCATGAGTTCTGAACAGCTCAAATCCAGCACCATGTCGGAAGAACTTTTGTTTGCCGCGGCTGTTGGTCTAGAGGTGGTTGTTGCAGTGGTTTCCTTTAGCCCGTTCTCCTCGTTTCACAATCCAATCCAGCCCCCGAGCGCTCGTAATTGTTTATTTCGTCAGTCTGGCAACAAAAGCGCGTCATGAATCATTCATAATTCATGACGCTGCCAACGCTCTGGCCCATTAAATCACATATTTTTCACCCAGTGAACGCCTTTCGCGCCGACAAAGCCTGTGCTCAAGACGTCAAATGTCTTACAGTCGACCACACAGTACATACAGTATAGCGCGCGGCGCGATGCTTTGATCTCGTGGGGAGGAATGATCCCGACGACTCCCATTTTTAGCCCGCTTTTCTCCAAGCGACTCGCTTCCAAGTGCCTCATGCTATAGCACATGACTGCAAGCGAGTGCCCTGCCTTGTTAAGAGACAACCTGTTGGAAATTCAGTCCGATAATTATCCGCACGAGGCGTCGGCAGTGAACTTATTTGGATCGTAAAATTATTTTTTTTGAAATAATAGAAGTGCGGCGTATGAATGCTCTCAACTAATGGCTGTTACGAGAATCCACTCATGCTTTGATGTGAATAAAGACAAAATATGATGAAAAAAAATGGAAGAATGAAGTCGCAATGTGATGGAAAATAAGTTGTAACGCTACAAAGGGGGAAAAAAAGAGTCATCATGTTATAAGAATAAAGTTAGAGTTTCAGAAACGGGTTGACTTAAGTCGAAATACTATGCGGAAAAAGTTGCTGTGTTCTGTGAATCAAATCTTTCAAGAAGAATCACATTGTCATTTTATAGAGTTGGGAATTTGAAAGACAACAAAAGTTGTGAACACACGGGTTCAAAGTTTTAATTATAAGAAGGAAATTGTAATATGAGAATAAAGATTTGATTTTAAATGAAGCTGAAATAGGAGAAAAAAAAGTCAGAATGTTACAGAAACAAAAATTTTACAAGCTAACCTATTTAGAACTTACGACGGTAAGGTGGAAATATTTTGTAACTTGAGTCCTAATATTAAAAAAAAAAGATATTATGATACAAAGTTGAAATCCTATTTGATAAAATTTGAATGTTATTGGAACAGAAGCTTGGATTTGACATGAATCGAGTCAAACTAATCAGACAAGAAATGAATTATGTCGTCGGGGGGACGTTTCAGCGTTGAGAAAATAAACGTTGCAATAGGTGGGAAATGTCGTCACGTGACAAGTATAACATTCCTAATTTTGTGTGAATCAATTTCAAATATGATGAAAAAAGTTTGAATGTTACGACAATCAAGTTGTCAGTTCATCGTTTACCCGAATAATGTTGCAAGAAGGTTTCAAACATGAGAACGTCATTTTACGGAGGCGGTTACATCATGAAAAGTTGGACTGTTATGAGAATGAAGTCGGAATTTCAGATGGATAATGCCATAATATATCCACCCCCCCAAATAATTTTACAAGATAATATAGAGAATGAGACCACCGTCCCCAAGTTGCTCCCCATGTAAGCTACAATCCAAAAAATCGCTGTCAAAGCCGAAATCCATCGCTTACCTGACCATGCCGTCACTGATGCAGTTCTGACCCGGGTATCCGTCGCCCCGGGCCGACAGCGAGCCCTGCGGCATGCCCGGACGCGACTTCCACGACTCCATCAAGGCCGCCACCGGCGATATTAGATTCAACAAGGGGTTGGACTGGTCCCGGACGTCGTGCCGCGCAAAGGACATTGTTCCCTGCGTGCCAATCTGGTAATGGAATGAGTGTCCGCTGGAATTAACTCCGACAATGGCCGAGGCGGGCACGCCGTTGCTCTCCTGGTAGTAGTCGCCGTCACTGGACTCTTGCTTCACCCCTTTGGACAGGACGTCATTGGCGAACACGTCGGCGTCGTAATTCCCGTTGAGGGACACCGGCGGTCCCAAGATTCCGGAGAGGCTGTATTCATCGACGTTATTCCTCAGGGACAAGTAGGTGGTCTCGGACGCGGGGAAGAGGCCGAGCGGCGGAGACTCTTCGCCGTAGGACTGCGCGTTCATGCACCCGTCGCTTTTGTCGGGTTCGTTCTTGATTTGCGTGATAAACGGCACACTGGAGGTGTTGCATTTGGAGCCGCCCAAGCACATGCTCCGAAAATCAGTCCCGGGCTCGTTCTTGATGTACTTCACCATGCCCATCTGGTCCAAACCCACATTGAACACCTCGCCATCCACCATCTCCACCTTGGGGAACTCAAAGGGCTTGAAGTCCAGCTCGTCGGTCAGAGCCGTGGCCTCGGGGCTACGGGTGTCACCCCGCGCCAAACCCAGTTCGCCGGTCGGACTGGGCGCCGGGAAGCCTCCCGAGGAAGGGTTCTGCGGGCTTCCGATGGCCATGGCCGGACTGCAGGCGGGGGGCCGGACGGCGGCGGGGCTGGAAGCGGAGGACCTGACGCTGCAGGTCTGCGGGGACCTCACGCTCATCATGCTCCGAGGGCTGGACATGGGGGACCTCAGCAGGGGCGGCGAGCCCACCGTGCTCGACTCCACAGGGCTGCACGCCGACGGATTCCTGCGCCTGGCTCCGGACAGGGCCGGATGGCTTACAGGCGAGCACGCCGGGCCGAAACCCGCCGGGGGGCTGGTGGTGGTCGACGACACCATGTTGTTACCGCCCCCCGGGCTGGAAGTTTGGGGGCTGCCGGACAGCGACGAGGCTAGCATGGAAGCGGAGCTCGCCGGGGCGCCGACGGTGCCGTCTCCTCCGCTTGGCGGCGGGAACGCAAACCCTTTCAGCTTGGGGCTCTTGGCCGAGCCACGCTGGCTGTCCCCGAGAGGGCGCCCGCATACCGGGTACTGCATTTTCCCAGGGCTGGACGAGCCCCCGTGCTGGCCGAAGGCAAAGTCCGCCTCCCTGGCAGCGTTCATGTAAAGGCCCATGGACTCGGCCACGGTTTTGGAAAGCTCCTTGGAGTCCATTTCCGGTTTGGCACCATGCAGGGAGCAGTTGCTGATGTGTGGCGGGCCGAAGTGCTGGTTCGGCCCGGGACGAAGCGCCGGCTGCTCCGGCTTCTTGGCGCCGCCCGCTTTGGGGTCGGCGACATTGGCCATGTCCAGGCCGGAGTCCTCAACGGCACAGCCGAACTCCATGGTACTGGGGATCTGAGACCACCTGTTCTCTGTATCGCTCCCCTCAAAGAGACTTTGGTATCTTTTGGTCTCCATCGCTGGCTCATGGAGTCACCTTGCAAAAAAAAAAAAAATGTAAGACCACTTCCAACCATGAGGTTTTGATATAAATATGCCAACGAGCAATTCGATTAAATGATGACGACTGTGCTGTCCAATGAATTGCCTCCGCTCGTACATTTTGCCCCTCATACTTTCCAAGTTTTAATATGACAAGGCTGAAGTCATAATTTTGCAAAAAAAAAAATGAAGATGATGATTTTCCTTTTACAAAGTTTTAATCAAGAAACAGACCTACAACAAAAAATAAAGTCAGAATGTCACTTTAGGGGAAGTCAAACCAAAAAAATGTGTAAGCACAGCATTCTGATTAATGTTGCTTTCGTGCAATTTGAATCAATCCGAAAATTGCACACCTGTTTTTATCCATCTCACACGGGCGGCCATTTTGCCACTTGCTGTCGACTGAAAATGACATCACGTTGCCTCAGGGCTCAGCTTGCGACTGTCACGGGTGAGCCATGACGGTTGTTACCTGACCCCTTTGGCACTGCAATGTCAATTTCAGTTGACAGCGAGAGGCAAAATGTCCACCTCCCCCGGTGGATTTTTCTGATTGATTTATATCCCACAAATGCAATATCAATCAGAACACTGTGTTGAGAGTATAGTAGGAGCACATCGGACATATTATTTTCAAGAAAATATTTGATTACACTTGCCCTTGTAACATTACGAGACTTAAAAAAGTTGTGACATCACGTAAAAAAACGTAATTATATTATGCGATAAAATTTTAAAAGTACACGATAAGGATTTTATCATATGAGAATAAAATGTAACATTTTGAAAGAGTTTTCATGAGATTAAATTCATAATTCTGTGTGAAGTACTTTGAGGAAAAAAAATGTAAGGTTCTGAGAAAAGTGAAGATATTTTAAGATCATACATTTCTGACAGGTTGAGATATTTTGAGAAAAAAAAAAGGGAATTATTTTCGCTCATTGAAACTTGACTAACAGCACCTCTGGTGGTCATAGCCCAGTACAGCACCCTCTATTACATCAATACACGATGAATCAATTCCAAAGAGCAATGAATAATTTGGTGATCAAATGTCATCATGGTTGTAATGGAGTGCCTCCAATTATGCTTGACTTTTCATTTTTTTCATTATCTGAACTGCTTTATCCTCACGAAGGGGCGCGGGGCGTGCTGGAGCCTATCCCAGTCGTCTTCGGGGTGTCGGCGTGGTATACCCCCTGAACTGGTTGTTGCCAACCAATTGCAGGGCACACATAGACAAGCTACTATTCACACTTACACCAATGGACAATTTAGCGAGAGTGATCAATTAAGTTACCCAATGCGCATGTGTTTGCAATGTGGGAGGAAACCGGTGTACCCAGAGAAAACCCACCCAGGCACGGTAAGAACGTGCAAACACAGAAAAAGCTCGGAACCCGGAATCGAACCCTTGACCTCTCTACCGTGAGGCCACTATGCTAACCCGTCAGTCCTATGTCACCATCCTTTACTTAAAACTTTTTTTTTTTTTTTTAAATGCAGATCAACACAAATGTTTGTGTCATTTTTGCATTTTAGAGGATAATACACATCTTGACAGGTGGTAGGTGCCTCGTAAGAGTTAACGCGCCGACGTGACGTCTCCTGAGCTTCGTTGAAAGTCAGTTCCCCTGCTTCGCTCCTATTGGACGAACGGACCCAGAGCTCACGCGCCGATTGGCTCCCGGCGCCTGTCAATCGAAAAGTTGCAAGCCTCGGCGGCCACAACAGTGCTGCGACACAAAGTTGGAACGCTTTGTTTTGGTTCGGAAAAGACGACATACACACGTTTTACGTGTAGGAACAGCCTGAAATAACCATCAAAACTGTTGATTTTTATATTGTTACGGATGTGGTTTAAAGCCGTCGCGGCACGTGCATGAGGAGTACACACCCCCTTTTAAAATCATTTCAAAAGAACCTACGCCACGAGCTGCGTGTTTTTTTTCATAAATACTGTAAATGCCATTTCTATTACATCGTGTTTGTCATTATGAAGTGAGTCATTTAGGTCGTAAAAGGTGGCAAACAGGCGCGGGTGCAAACTCGTTCATGAAAATAAGACATTTTTTAAAATGATAAGAACGGATCCAACTTGCAGCAGACTGGTGTTTTTACGATTAATATAAAATGACTAGCGTCAGTCAAAAAAAGTTAGTTAACACCTTTGAAGCGGCTCCACGCATGCACTAAGCCTAAAATAGAGTCCATTCTTATTTTATTGAGTCTTTTGTCTTACCTTAAAGACTACATTCGGTGGGTGGTTGTCAGGTGTTTGCATCCAGAGGAGCGCCAAGAAAAGCAAATAGAAAGGAAAAAGTCGTGGTTATCGTCATAAATAGGAGTCGCGAAAGAGAGTGTGGCGCATAGTTGCGCCAGTTTTTTTTTTCTACAGCAGCTCGGCTCGGTAATAATAATAATAATATTAACAACGATCCTCAGCGAGCTTTGCAGCAAAAGCGCAAGCGGGGTCCGACGGTGTTCCGCTCGGCGTACTGCTTTGCTCGCTGGCTCGAGTGGAAGTGGAAGAAGGAGAAGGAGAAGAGGTGCGGGGCGGGCGAGCGAACGAGGGAGTGAGAGAGAGAGAGAGAGAGAGAGAGAGAGAGAGAGAGAGAGAGAGAGAGAGAGCGGGGGGGGGGGGGGGGAGGGAGGTTGGGGGCGGACGGGACACTCGTTTCACTTGGGGTCCCGCGCCTTTGCTGTACGCTCCCGTCTCGATGTCGTAATGAAAGGAAAAGGTGTGATCAACATTAAACTTGCGTGAGAGCGTGCACGTGAGAGCGTGTGCACGCGCGGACGTGTCGTGTACAGTATAGGTGCCTCGCTAGTCAGTTATAATTTAGGGCATCATCGGCGTTAAAGTCACTTGGGCTTTTTTTTTCTTTTGTGTTCGTTGCCCTTCTTTGACTGTACAGTATGTGGAAAAACTCCTTCGGAGAATCACCTGTAACACGAGCCTCCACCAGGTGGCGCGCTATTTCAATGGACCTGTCATTTGCAATAACCCCCCAACCCGAATTAGTGCGAATTAATCCACCATGAACCCGTTACAAATATAAGGCGTTGTTCAAACGCCTTGATCAAACTCTTTCTCCTTGGCATCACTGATACCCTTCTGTGGTATCATATTTAGAAAAAAAAAGCCAAAGAAAAAAAGCATTCAACATGAAATAACTAGGCTTCATCCATGACGAGTGATTCCTCTGACAGGCAGACACTTTTTGTCGGCCTGCTCATCTGCTAAAGGGCCTCACGGGTGAGGGGGGTAGTGGGCACAGGTGAACTGGAGCGAGCTAACTTTCAGACGAACCCCCCCCCCCACACACACACACACACACACCTCACCCTTGTCGAGCTGTCTGCAGAAGGCAGTCATGAATTTGCAATATCACGAGGGCTGAGGAGCGGAAGGGAGGATTTGGAATGTACATTACAGTACAGTTGCAGTAAATGGAACAGCGTCACCAACTACCATAATCATTTTTCATCTTTCTCTTATGATTAATTCAACAGAATGGAGAAGTCCATCCATCCATTTTCTCTACCGTGTACCCTCATTAGGTACACGGTATATCCTGTTCCAGCTGACTTTGAGTGAGAGATGAGGTACATGCACCCTTGACTTCTGGCCAGGGAATATACGGTTTTGAAAAGCAAGCGTTCACATTCATATCCATACCCACACACTCCATAAAACAAAGTTGGGTTGAAAATAATCCAAATTGGGTCAGAAAGGAAGTGGCCCAACTTTTCCCATCCGAAAAAAGGGTCAAATGAATAACACCCCCTGCCCCCCCCCCAAAAAAAAGAGTTATTTTACAGGTTATTCATTTGACACAACTTTTTGGGGAAAGCAATTAACCCAACAAATCGGGTCAGTCCATTTTTGACCCAAAGTTTTTTCAAGTTTGGCCGACAGCAAGTAGTTAATACCTGGCTTAAACTTGAATTTTGTGGAGCATTTCTTACCTTGTCAACACTCTTGTTATCATTACCAGTCCTCATTGTTGCTCAATTTAATTTTCGCTGTTTATGTTGTTAGGTCGGAGTCAGCTGACAATTTGTTTCGAGCTAGGAAAGATTCCAGGTGGTCAGAGGCAGCACCGCTGTCGTCGTTTCAATTGGGATGGGAGAAGCGAACTATCGTGTCCTCCTGGTAAATATTAAAGCTAAGACGCTACTAACAAGTTAACTGTAATGTGATCACATGGTATGCTGTCCACTGTAGTAACCACTGTCCCTGAAAGGGTTAAATACATATTTTTTCACATAATGACTGCGGAGGCCGGCTTCTAGATGTGGTTGGGGCTCTGCCCCGAACTACCAACAAACACTGTTTTTATTTAACTATGATATTAGGGAAAAAAATAATCTGCCGTAAACAGGTGTAAACAAATATCAAAAGTCAAAAGTTGTGCGTTGACACAGATTCCTGTCACCTTAAGCTGCCCCACTACGAGGTTGTCACGGCCGATCTAACTGCTGAATGAAATGCGTCGGCGTACCTCCGCCGTACTATGCGCGCGCCACCCGGGGTTTGTTCACGCACCTCGCCACACAGGCTACGGACTGGTTAATGGAATAACATGTTTACCCCGCCGGAGACATACATACATATTCAGTGGGAACACGGGATTTATAGGGTGCCGCCAGACTCTGGATCAGACCATTAGCATGCCGGGAATTATCACTAAATAATACGTTTGGCATAACTGTGTCAAGTCGATTAGGAATTGATGTTCCGGCTTGTAAACATGCTTTCTGTCGTACAGATTTGATTTCAGGGTTCGATTCCGGCTCGGGCCTTCCTGTGTGGAGTTTGCATGTTCTTCTCATGCCTGCGTGGGTTTTCTCCGGGTGTGCCGCTTTCCTCCCACATTCTCAAAACATGCATGGCAGGTTAATGGAACACTCTAAATTGTCCCTAGTGTGACTGTGAGTGTGAATGGGTGTGTTTGTCTATGTTTGCCCTGTGATTGGCTGGCGACCAGTTCAGGGTGTACCCCGCCTATACAGTACTGGCCAAAAACAGTTGGGATCGCATCCAGCATGCCCGCGACCCTTGTGAGGATACGTGGATTTGAAAATGGATAGATGGATGGACATCCGAGAAACCTATAATTTGTAATTTGCTGTTTTCGATGGTGGTTTTTGGTGGGGGGGTCACCTCCCCCCCACACCCAAAAAAAGGGCGATCTAGTAAGCAATTTCATTTCATGACCAAGTTAACATTTGTCACATTAATTATGCCACACTTGGCTGCACTTTGTCTCCGTGGTCTCCCTTCATCTATTCGTAATCCTAACCTCACGTTACTTCTGCAGCTGGATGGACTGCGAGCGCTTTCCAGGACAGCGTTGGGTGTATAAATAGACCGTCAGACCCACAAGACACTTTCTACAGACGTAAAGCCTCGTTACGCATGAAACAGTTCATTATTTCTCATCCGGTTCCCCTGAGTCCAAACAGATAACAAACAACGTCCCGCTAATTATCAAGCAATGTTTCTTTTTTTTCAACCCCCCACCCCCCCCCCTTCCTCGTGTGCGCCACCTTGTGTCTGATAATAAGCTGACAAATGGGTATTTTGTGCACTTCTTAGTTTCGTCGGCTGCTGAACGGGGGGGGACTGAAATGTGACGCCTGTGTCATGATTAATTTTGCAAGTGAACAGGCTCTGCGATGTCAGTGGTAATTAGGCATCACCTATTGCATAACACACCATGTGTCAGTGTGTGTGTGTGTGTGTGTGTGTGTGTGTGTGTGTGTGTGTGTGTGCGTGCGTGCGAGAGAGAGAGAGAGAGAGAGACAGGCAGCATCTGTATGAAGAGACAAAGAAGTAATTTTATGGTTCACAAATACCTAGACATGGACATTCCGCTCACGAGACGTTTGATTAAGATCGGATCTCGCGAAGTCGGATGACGGGAGTTTTTTTTTTGGTTTTGTTTTATGAAAAATCGTCAAACTTCATTGAGAAGCTCTGTCAACACACGTTGACGACAAAGCACATTTTTTTGCAAGTTAGCGTCACCCATCATGTGGTTCAAAATCGGTCGGACAAAATGTCCAGGTCAGGCTCGCCTTCGATGGACTCCTGGAAATACTGTTGTCGACATGATTAAAAAATGGCAACTTCAAAACAAAATGGCAGGCTTCCTGTGTCTTTTTGCGCTTGGGTTCCTGAGACTTTTTTGTGAGCCTGTTATTGACAGACATGCCAACCAAATCTCATGTTGCTAAGTGAAAGTGGCTTTGGGGGCTGAATTTTTAAATAATTCGTGGCACTATATTTGTATGACCCCTTGAAAATGACACACAATTTGGCCAATTCAAAACAAAATTGCACACTTCCTGTGTCTTTTCGGGCTTTGGGTTTGTGAGACTTTTTCGTGGGTCTATTCATGACAGACATGTCCAACAAATTTCATGTTGCCAATTTAAACTAACGTTTCAAAGAATATATTAGCTGTAGGGCAGGCAGAATTGTGCCCTTTGAATTCTGCATGGCAACAACTGACCAGGAAAAAAAAAATCTATCTATCTATCTATCCTGCTGCACCTGCTAGCCAGCTACCTCAAATGTTATTTATATTCTTAGGTTTTATTCTAAATTGTGTCGACTATGTTGTTATTAAGTGCGTTGATAATGGATGTGAAAATTGAAAGTCGCTTAAAAGGAAAAGTTGTGAACTTCAAAATGCAAAAAGGTGGCAAGAAATGTAATGGGTTAACTTTTGTTTTAGACCGCTTTTTGGAAAATAAAAATAGGACTGACAGCGTTCTTCTACTTTTTGGGGGACCAATTATGGGGGGAGTTACAATTGTACCCTCTGAATTCTGCCTAGCAACAAGTGACCAGGAAAAAAAAATCACTGAGCTGGATGCTAATTAATCTCTTCCCCTCGTCTGGTATCTTGCTATTGGCACAGAAATCGAATATTAGAACAAAGGCCGATCAAACCATTACGCATTCGGTGTGATGGCACATCAAGACCTCGTCTACTGCGTTCCATGAGTGTCAGCTCGATGCAATTTCTCCCATTTCTTGCCAGCAAGAGTCCCCCAGTCCAGCTATCTGGGTAGTTTTTTAGTCCCGTATATCGTGGGGTTTTTTTTGGGGGGGGGGCTGGGGAACAAATTGGCGAGTGGTTATCCAAATGCCCTCAAAGGCAAAGTCTCATTGTCTCGCCGTTACATAAAAGCTTTATTTCGCCGGCTTAGACGCATCTAATTTTCAGCAGTGACCCGCAGCGCACCTGGCAAGCTGCGACACATGCCACACACACACACACACACACACACACACACACACACACACACCCACACACACACACAAAGAAAAAAACTTTCAAACTTTAAACCCGCCGATTTAACCACAAGAGCATTTATTAATCCGTCTAAAACAAACAATGGCCCCCATATCAGTCAAATTAACGCAGATTGGGATTTGACGCTCGCCGCAGCCAGATGGCCTAGCTCGCTCGCTCCCTCGCTCGCTCGCCCATGGTGGCAGCTGAGGATGAGAGCACTTCCAGAGCGGATTTCAGAGAATCTAGGCCAGCG